ATCTCCAATATTAAATATCAAGAAATGTAAAGGTATAAATAAATAATCTTGACGAAATTTACTCTTGTTTTCTTCATCAACAACTGATTTGATAGATGTAGTGATTGACGGAAAAAGTGATAAGGTCACAAAGAAAACGAAACCCACCGTAAATGCTAGAATACGGATTTTATTAAATGTTTCCTTAAGTAACTTCTGATCATATGTATTTTCGACACTTTCTGCATTCTGTATCATTCTGACGTAATGTAGATAAAGAGGTAAGCGAATCAGGATAAAGTAAGATATTAAAGTAACGAGAGAAATTATGGTAGCACAAATAAAATATAAAAGTGCACTGCGACGTAAATCGTTTTCGTCTAGATTTGATGATGGTGGGATCATCAAAGCACTAAGAATTTGAGAAACTGCGATTGCTGACCCGGCAAAACCTTCATGAAAAATAAAGTTTTTAAAGATGTCTTAATAAAAATCTTACTAAATAACAATATATTTTTAAAAGTTACCTTGACCGCTTCGTAATAAAATTCAATGAGAAATAATGTTAGTCAATCAATAATAAAGCATATGGACGAAAAGAAATTACTCCCTTACCTCATGACTGACTGCGTATAAATAGGTGGAAATTGTGAAACAAGAGCGAAAATTTCATTTTGCTGTAATGCAGCCGTTGCACCCATAATACCAATCGATGTGACAACAAAATAAAAATAAATTGTGGGACCAAAGAACTCAACATAATGAGTTGATATTGCAATTAATACGAAAATGGATATCATAAGCGAAATTGCAAAGGTAATTCGAAAAGAAATATTTTCCTATTATATTATAAAGTTAATGACAAAAATAAATTACGTTGACTTAAAGAGGATTGTACTCACCGACTTATGAGTAAGCAAAGCAAGTCCGAGAAAAAAAAGATTCGAACTCATATATACGATAGAAAAGTAGTTTTGAAAATTATCTGCAAAACCTGACCCAAGAAAACTCTGTTGAAAGAATACAGAGGCATTAATGAATACTAAAATAAACATAGTAATGATATATTTATTTACATTCTTTATTTATTAAAAAAACCAAAATATTAAATATTTTATGCCATACCGTTCCATCCTAAAAGCATTGCAACACCCTGTAATAAAAATATCAAATATACAACTCGATAATTATCTTCGGGAGGTACTTGTTGTATTGTATCCTCTTCGCTTGTCTCCTGTGAAGAACGCTCATTAATCCCAGAAGTCGGTATAGGAACGTATGCTTGTTCTTTACGGCCAAAAGCATTTTTTAAAAAACGAGAAACTTGTGAGTTCGACATCATTCATCAAACTCCAAAAGATCAAAAATGCTTTCCGTAAATTGACCGGTTTGTCCATAGAAATTCCATGGAAATTTCGCGGAACTTATCTAATGAAATTTTATGAAATAGATTTTTTTTTTTTTAAAAAAAAAAACCCATTAATAAAGAGATGCGGGTAAATTTTTTATGGGTCAAAATCAGCAATCTAATTATATAATATGAATATAAATTGCTTTCATATTATCATTAATAGCCCTTAAATTATTTAAGTGTTTATTTAACATTAATACAAGTCATGAATTAAAGGAAAAATTAATTAGACTTTACAAAAGCAAACAAATGAAATAAAAATAAAATAATAAGAATAAGGATAGTTATCGAAATTAAAATAATTTAACCTTTTCGCATACGATTACCTAATTAAGAAAATAAATATCAGTAACATTTACAACATTTACGTGATAACAAAATATATATGTATAATTAAATATACCCCATCCACGAGGATTGGCGTCCTTGAATTCATCCCATTCTCGTGCTTTGAGCGTTTCTTCGTCTATAGCATGCTCATCGTTATCATCAATTTCTTTATTCTTCGGTATTTGTCTAATATAACATTATTATTTAGAAGGATATATAAAAACTTCACTTCCAGATACCTGAAGTTGACTTCTTACCCTCCACCGCTTATGATATTGCCTCGTGCTGCTTCTTGCTCAAGGTATTCATCAATGGTCATTGTTGGAAGACGCCAACCTGGTCTAAAAACTTGTTCTCGAATCGCTTCGCGTTGGTTTGTGATGACAAATGGTCGAAGCGGCTATATTTTAAGTTGGAATGAATTGATGAAATTTACAAATTTCAAATAAAATGATTGCACTATGAATAAGTAACTTTACCTTTCCATCTTTTGTCAATAACGGGCCGCTTGAACCTTTGGAAATATTGACCTTATTATCATTCGCCAGACCTACAAAAGAACTAGGTCCAGATTGTTCTTGAATTTTTCTCATTTGATCAAGTAATTCAAATTCTTGTTTAATTGAAAATAATTGTTCCATGGATTTGTGTATGAAGAGGTCAATAAGGATCAGGATATATTTGCGACTAAATTCATCCTTGTCGTTGTCTCCAATAGAAGGCAAACGTTGTTGTAAAGTCTGATCCGATTATTGTAAACGATCTCAGAGATTAGCAATTTCCACAAAAATGATTGACAGATCAAAAGGTATATGAATTACCTCTAACTTCATTTTAATCTCTTTCTCTCTCTTATATCGTGCTATCTTTTCTTCACGCTTCTTTGCAGCATTTTTTGTAGTTCCATTAGACTGCTCCTCAATAAGTTTTCTGTCCTTAATTATTATTATTGAAGAAGTTGTATATATTAATAATTGAAAAGGTCCAAATTAGATAAAGATGAATCTAACCTCTTCTTTTAGTATTTCATGCAATTCGATGTTCCGTAAAAACTGTTCAAAGTGTTTCTATTATAACGGAAAAGAATATGAAAAATAAATTAAAAGAAAATTGACAAATATTTTTGAAATATAAGTTCAATACAAACCTTTGACTTATTTAGTATTTGCATTCGATCTCCGTCGGCTAATTTAGTCGTTAGATCACCAAGATATGCTTCAACTAGAAGAAATCTATGTATTCGCATCACATAAATTGATTCAAAATAATGCTAAAATTCTAATTTCGAACGTGTTCCACTTTTTTTATATCTTGCCTTAAATCTCCGGTATTAATGTCTTCCACCGTTTCGTTTGCGCTAAAAATACTTAATTTATCCGTCAATTCCGCGCATTTTATGAAATGTGTGATTGCAATTTTAACATCATGCTAAAAATTTAATTCTCACTTTTAATTTAGAGTATATTAATTGGCATAGAATTAGTATGTGATAAATGTGATAAATGCCTGATATAACGGATCAGACGAAGCAAGGCTTGTGGTTTCAATTCTGTTGTAAAATTTCTGTCCCAAGAGAAATTCATCCGATAATGATTTTTCTGCTGTCATTTTTTGTTAGTCGCGTTATTTATGAACTTGTTCAAAAAGAATCAAAAAGAAAAGTTTGTTGAACGAAAAGTGTTGATCTAATCTACATCGAATACAAGTACACGTGTCACAATGTGTCACACCTAACATGGCGTTCTTCAATTCGTTGATCCTCGGTTACACAGTATTTGCTGTTACACATTCACACATTTCAGTAAACTAAAGCTAAGCCACTTAATTTGATTTATAGATATGTTAGTTCAGATATAAAATAAATTTTTCATTGTAAATTATGAACCGTTTTATCTTAGTATTTAGTTTTGACTTGGCACTTTTTTTTCCTCTTACCTATGAACTACAGAAGTGAAATAAACAAAATGCCAGCTTCAAAAACTCGAAAAGCTCCTGAGAGGCCGACAACACGAGCTTCTACGAAAACAGCACATGCTAGCGGTATAAGAACTAAAAAACTTTAGTTACCCTTTTTTTTTTAAAAAAAACAGTCTTCCCTTATGCTAATACCCTTTATTCACTTTTTTTTCGCTAAAAGGTGACATTGCGGTTAAGCAACGTTTAAGGTCCTATCCAAACGTTACACCCTCGTCTACCGTTTCTCCTGCGACAACGCGTGCGAGTTCTGTTGAATCCGCGCGGGAAACAACCCACCGCAAAGCCTCTTCACGAACAAGCACTCGCTCTTGCCATAACAACAAAAACGATGGTGTAGTGACTCGGCGGTCTACTCTACAAAAGGAATGCACGGGTAATTTTCATGAAGTTAACTTTTTTTTAAATATTTACTGGGCTTACTTCGTTTTATACAGTCTAGTTCATAACTCGACATTTTTGAGTTTATTAACTTTTATGTTACTTCATACATACAGAAGAAAGTGAAATTATTTTCGAAAGCCATTCCTCAGATGACGAGGCGTTTATAACTATGAAACATAACTACAGAATACAAAAGCGGCGTGCGGATGAAATTGTTATTCAGTTTAAATCACTAAAAGAGAGGTAAAAAAATAAATCACTTTAATATCGTTCAATATGTATTTTATAGGTACATTTTTTTTAGAAAAAAAAAAATTTTTTTTTTTTATTATGCTTATCCACAGGATGTTTATTTCAAGGTTAAATGATCTTGATGAAGATAATAACGCAATACAAGAAGGTTGTCATCCAAGATTATCAAAACAAATGGACGAGATTGAAGAGAAACATAAAGCTCTTACACTAAGAGCAGAAAGACGCCGTGAATATCATAAAAATGCGATAGAAGCTGCATACGCCGCGACGGAAAAACAGATACGAGACGAATTTCTGGTAAGTTTTCAATATCCAAGTCGAAAATTCATTATGCAACAATATTTACTCTTTATATATAATTTATATTTATGATATAGAATGACCGTCATAAATTGAGGACAATGATGATAGAAGAGCTGGAGAATAAGAAAAGCCAACTTAAGAGAGAATATTATAGAAGTAAGTATTTATATATTTATATATATATATATTTTTAACCCCCCCCCCCGTGTAAATTTAGTTAAAATTTTCCATAATCCTCATCTGAAACTGTTATATTGCTTTCTAATTAATAGAACCTGAGGATAATCTGCTGGATTTGGTAATGAAAAAGATTGAGGGTACACCATTTGATCCTAATTATAAGATTTTTAATAAGGGATCAGATACTACTCGCATATCTTTCCCTATTAAAAATCGATCATCAAACGGACAAATGCGTACACCAAGATCTAACATTGATATTCAATATAGTCAATTATTTAATTTAAATATCCTTTATTATTATACCTTTTATAACTTTTTTCCAAACTATCTATCTTTGTTGTATAATATTCCTTAACTCTCAGTACATTTCCATCCGACAGGGACTAATGAAGAAGAAATGGCGGAGGATTTGATGGCAATGCAGTTGTGGAAACCGGCAAGACTGCCGACACAGCCATCATCATCGAAATTTCATTCCACAACTCAACCAAATCCAAATATAATTTCTTCCACTTCTAATGTTATCATATCCCCGCCTCGACGGAAAAAAGAACCCCGTACAAAACGACCTCGTCGTAATTCCAATCGAGAAAGTGTTTCAGAAACACGTAGGGAAACGCCTCTTATTTTAGCACCTAAAGAGTTTCCAAAGACTTCTTTAAGAGAAACGTCCAAAGTTTCTAAAACGATTCACAGAGATATACCTAGCGAGTTACTTGGCAGGGAAACATCAAAAGAGTTGCCCAGAATAACATCAAAAGAAACTCTCAAAGATATCGGTTTGCACAGGGATTCCAGAGAAGTATTTAGGGAGGTAGTTATAGAACCGCCTAGGGAAATAGTTAGAGAACCACCGCGAGAATTACCTAGAGAAATTCCAAAAGACTTATCTACGAGCTCATCGCAAAATCCAAATTCCATTATTGTTAGTCGGTGGCTTGCTGAAGAAGGCACAGAAGAAGATAATGATTCAGACCAATAATAAAATAACACACTAATAATTGCTTTGTAAATAGATAAACAAATAATGTATTTTAGGAGTTTAACTCAAATACTTAATGGGAGAAGTCATGTAGGAAGGAATAAAATTTAGAGGTATTATAATTTATTCACTTTTTATTAACAGAGAGAAAGAGAAAGCTTGTAATATTATTATATTTAAAGTCTTAAAAAGACAAAAAAAAAATGTGGTCTTTGTTTTTGGGTATAAATATTTGTATTATATATATATATATATATAATATAATAATTATTATTATTATTTTTTTATTTTTTTTTTTTTATTTTTTTTTTATTTTTTTTTTTTTTTTTACATCAAAGCATATTTTTTTATTTTATTTTTTTTTTCCTTGGATATGACTGGTTTTGAAAATGAGTTTTGACTCCAACTTTTGACAATAATGAATTAATAAAAAAAAAAAAGAATGAAATCAACTTCTGAAATGATCTAACATGATGTAGTATCAAAAAACTATCGACTGCAAAAATATTTAGCGAGAAAACGAATCGGTTTAAATTTTTTAACGTTTTACCTACTTACTTTATTCATAAAATTTGACCGGGATTTTGTTAGATTTAAATCTTGCAAAACGATTAAAAATTTCCATTTTATCGGCATAATGCGTTACCTAATATTATCCCAACCTAAGAAATATGAAACCGAAATTACAGATTAATTAGATTAATTAATAAAATTATATATATAAAGAATATTATGATTATAGATTAAATATTATATTTATAAATAAGGTTATTAATTAAAATTTAAAGGTTAAGAATCACCTAAATCATAAAAAAATAAAAAATTATAATAATATATAATTAATATTTTTATACATATAAGAGTTTAGCAAATTATCTAAATAATACAATTTATAACAGTTATAAAAATTTCAAAAACCTTAATAAAAATTAGTAATACTAAATAAATTTAAAATAAGTTAAATAAGCAATTTTATATATACAGTCAGAACTCGTTATAACGAACTCTTGATATAACGATCACTTAATGAATTCTCGTTTAAACGATTTTTT